CGCGCGCTGAACACCGCCATAGCGGGTACCGCCGCCGGAACATTAGCTGGGAAATTAAGAAAGCCCTTGGCGCGCGATACTTAAGGAGGGGGCGGTGGCAGGAATTACTGAAAACTCGAAAGACCCGGAATATGAGGGAAGATGCCAGGGACTGCATTTACCAAAGAGGGAGGAAGAGATGGCGAGGAACGTATTACTGTTTTACTGAAATAGGAAGTTCTCCAAGAGCGTTCCTTTGCCGACAATTCCCAGAAAGAGACCTGGAGAAATCAGCTAAATTTACAGCAAAGGGCACTCAGGTCCCACACGAGGACAAAGGAGGTCAACGTTGGTAGCAAAACGCTGGAGGAAGTAAGTCGCCGCTGTGGGATCACGTTAGCTGTTGAAGCCGTGGGCCCCTGGGGGTCAGGGCTGCGTGGCTCTCCTCTCCTCCCCACACCGTTAGACAGTTGCCCCGCTACTTGTCCATTCTCTGTACATAGCTTTGATGATCCCTCGATTACTTAAAGCCATATTCTGCTGACTGCCATGATCCCATTTTTCCGTCCTTTGTCCTTGACTGACCTTGATGCATGAAGAGAAGGTGAAGGCGTAAGCGTTGAGAAGGCAGCACTGACGTTGGAGCCCGACGTGGGCTGTGCAGTCTCACCACTGAGGCTGCGGGCACCTTTCAGGGGGTGAGCAATTCCAAAAATGCAGACAGGGGAAGGCCAGCGTCTCCTCCACGACACACGCACGAGCCCTGGGTAAGGCACCGCACATACTCCCCCCTCTACCGCCCTGAACAAAGAACACGGAACTGGCACTATCCCCTCAGCTGCCAGCTACTGCACTTTCAAGGAACAGATCCTCAGGGAATAGCAGGGTATGGCTACACCTGCAACGAGTCCGAGAGCGCTGCAAGATAGAAAAGCAGCCGTGCCCGAGAGAACCTATGAAATAGCCTCTGAGGAAGGGACAGACTAATGAGCTACAGGCCAGTTAAACAGTCTCTGAGATTCAAGATCGAGCTTTCATCCTCACTTTCTGAAAATACAGAATACATTTCAACTTTGCGTGCAGTAGCAAAAGCAAAGCAAACTTCCTGGCAAATAATAAAAACCCATGCAGAATTTAAAGGTTGGCCACCTCTGATTTTTGTCGTCTCTGACAAAGCTTCATTTCTGCTCAATCCAGACCACAAAGGACTGAAGAACAACAGCACTCAAGGAACTAGATCAACCTTGCAAACAAACGCACAACTTCCATTATGGCATCTCTAAGTCACTAGGTCAAGCTTTGAAAGTCCACCTGGTCAAGACCGAGTTGAAAGCTGCTTCTTTGATGTGTGAAGTAGCAAATGCACATTTCGGCGTTTGTACACATTAGTTCTATTAGCTTCCCCATAAATCCCATTCTTATATTTGCTTATCGCTTATTTTACAAATTTAGCAATGAAAATGATGGCACTTAAATGAGTACACCTAACTTCTGGAACATTTGCTGAACTTCCTCTGAACTGATGTCTAATTTTGTAATGTACCTTCCAGAATAACAAAGAGAGTTTTGAAAATAACATTGATAAGCTACGAAAGAGAAAAGCCACATAAAACAATTTCAAGACCAGCAGAATGAAATGTAAACGGCAAGAAAAGTCTTAGTAAGTTTCTTCCAGACTTTATAATTTATTTCATAATTCTGCACATGAAATGTATGAACATGTATTTAGTTACTTTGTACCTCTGCTGCACTCATTTATTTGTAGGACAACTGGTGATCACGTGACTTCTTACTGAGCATACCGCCAACCTAAGAAAGAGGGGGAAAAAAAAATCTTAGCAACAAGAAAAATAGATACAACGAGTATGGTTAGACGCATCTCACAACAGGCTGTATTTTCAGCTGGAGAGGAATATTCATGGGAAAAATAACCACAGTACTACAAGTTTTTCCTATACCTAGTAGAAGCAATTCTTTCATGTGGCATATTAATTGCTCTGAGGCCATAATCCCCAACAGACTTTTTAGCTGGCAGAAACACAATTATGTTTTTTACATTGAAAAGGACAACGATCACATACAATTTGCACTATAATGCAAGTCTATGGGCACTGACTTTATATCATCCTTATGTGGAATATACAAGTGAAACTGAGAAAAATGCTTCCTGCTGTGGACCTGTTAGAATAAAAAAAAGAGGCAAAGATAAGCTATTTTTAGTGACCTTGATCTCCTTGCCACCAAAGCACTTGTAAGGTATGCTCTTTGCGACCTAAACTTGATATAGACACTGTAAGAGATGTGTTATTTCCCAAAAGTTTGCATGTCCAAGACATAAAGCTGGCAGGGAATATGCACACAAATGAATATATGAAAATATAGATCAGTCACTTTATCACGGGGAATGAGTTAGAAGAATAGCAAAAGCCAAGATGTAAAGTATTAAGGAAAACAATAAGGAAAGAAGGTAAGTCATTCCAGTATCTTGATTGCTAACAGAAGTCAAAAGAGCTGCAGAATTTGTGTTCAGCTAAGTCAAAAGCATCTGTACGTACATACTCACTATGAACACCCGGTACACTTACGTTGCCTCTCTTCTTTTCTTCTTTCATATTCCATTACATCTTCATTATGCTGCTTGAAAAGCTGTAAAAGAGCAGTATATGATAAACGGCTATACAAGGCACAGCTGGAACCAGAGAACAAAGATTTCTACAGAATACAAAATTCCTATTATCGGAATGTAAACCAATACGTAATTATTGAAAATTGGGACAACAGAGTAAGTTTTCTGTAAATTATCACTTGTCCAGTGAGGCATATTTTCCACACCTTTCTCAAGCATTTTCTGCTGGCTGATTGAGGGGGGGAAGGTTCCTACTGTCAATCAATCCACCACCCCAAAAATGGGGAAAACCCCAAAGGGAATTCACCCCATCCTGAAAAGCGTTGTCATCATGGGAGTGCTGCTTATCCTGCACATTTCTTCGTGGCAGCTACTACACCCTGCTCGCTTTATCAACGACATCAAGCCTGTGAGTTCTCTGAAACAGGCAACATCTTACATCTGCATTTTGCTCAGGGAAAGGGGGTCTTAATCAATTGACTACGGCTGAAAAATCAGAAGAGAACGCATTAGTAGTCTGATAAACACAACATTATTTCTGCACATCCCTAGGTCTTTTTTTTTTTTTAAGATCCATTGGGGAAAATAATGTTAAAGCCGTAAACCAACCAGCTTGAAGAATTAATTCTTCTGTTGTGGCTGTTTTAAGCCTGCAACAGAGAGTAGCTTAATAAGTTGTTCATTTTTATAAAGAAAAGCACAACATAGATTTGGGAAAACATAACTAATCAACATATGCTTCAGCCTTGACACCTGCTATGACCATCCACTACCCCAATGAACTAAGTCGGTTGTAGTCACTGCCTTCAGATCACTATGGTCTGAGAATAGTTAAGTTCAACAAAACCAAATGAAAACACTTACGAGAACCCACAAGGCAGCGCTGGTGCTGAAAGCCAAGCCAACTCCAAACCAGTTTGGTCGGTCATAATTACGTCTTTTTGCAACAAATGCAGAACGAGTAAAAGCTAAAGAGGCAGATTACAAACGTGTTAACATTTTTCAGGTTTAGACTACCAAGTCAATTACTGACACTCACACAACCAGGGGGAAAAATCCAAATAAACCACAACAACAAAAAAACCCCAAACAAATGTAATTATGATGTATAAATGGTCCCCATAACATTGTTACAGCTCACCCATGTGTAGACACACTGCGGCATGCACTCCCTGATCCGAGGGAGAGGAGAGAGGGGACGGGGCGCTGCCAACAGTTCAAAGCGGTGCTTTTTCCCCCCCTTTCCTCTGGCCACAAAACCCATACCCTACCGCACCTTTGGCCTGCGCCTCCTCTCGCTGTCCCCTGCAGAAAGCTCCCACCCCCCGGCCTTCCCCG